GTGTGTGTGTGTGTGTGTGTGTGTGTGTGTGTGTGTGTGTGTGTGTGTGTGTGTGTGTGTGTGTGTGTGTGTGTGTGTGTAAAATTTAGCATGTGCCACTAAACGCGAACATCAGGATATTTGCAAACAATTTCCCGCGAGTAACACATTTCTTTCCTATCATGTGGACGCTGTCGGGCAGACTCATCTGAAATCAGCCCCATTCTGTCATCTCCTGACCTTTGACCTTAGGCAAGCGTGTGCCGATTACGCCGAGGCTGCGAGGGAATCTGTGGGAAAGCTGCATCGATCTTACTGAAGGACTGAAACATCACAAAAGGGAAAGAAGATGGGAGGAGGGAGAAAAGAAGTCAAGCCAAAGTTAAATGAAAAATTGCTTACATACACGTCTCGCACGGTCTGGAACATTTATTATTCTGAGTCACACAGAAAGAGGAAAAGAAAAAAAGACGGAGGAGGATAGAAGAGAGGAATCCATTTGGTAAAGTAGATGCAGATCGATGGGACTGGAGGCAGGCAGGCCAGAGTGCATCAGAGGGAGAAAGTGTGTGTGTGTGTGCGTGTCAGTACCTGCGATGTGTTTGTGTATCCACTTGCGTGCATGAGGCGTCCCAGATTACTTTTCCTGATTGATCCGGCCCAGCATCCGTCTGACCTGCAGGACATTTCGGAGCTCGGAAGAGGCTGCTGGAGGTGGAGAGATGGTGAGAGGGAGACAGCCAGGAAGAAAAGGGAGCGGAGAAAGAAATATAAAAATCAATAGCGCAGAGAGCATTGCACGGAACTTGACTGGCCGAGAAGCTGAGATAGTAAAGTTGTATTAATCTCTTTGTGTCTCAGCTGGTTTGATAGGAACTGCAGTCCTGCTTTACTTTCACTCGAGGAGAGCTCAAGTCTGCTCGGAGGTAACAACAAGAGGGATATGTGATTTTCACTATCGCGGCAGCTGAAAATAAACCAAGGCTCATGCGGCGTTTTCTTTGGAATTGTCGTATCTCATCCATCAACTTTAACAACTGAAATAATGGTTGTTAAAAGAATCGAAGCTGTGGAAGAAAAAAAAACTAAACAACACAAATAATGCCCAAGACAAGATGGGGATGCAGTTTAACAAGTCAGATACTTGCGTGCTGGCTCCATTTTGTAGCTGCCAGGCAGTTTGTCTATCAGTGATCTTACATCGTACTGTCTACTCTGCAGTCCTCTCTGGCCAAGTCAGGGTAAATTGATTGTCTAAGCTCTGTAGGAGAAGTGGGAGGGGACGCTTGCACCCGGCCAGCAATAATAAAATGGTAGCTTTATCGGCTAAAAGCAGAAGAGGAGCTGCGATCCTGGCAAGGCTAAAAGGATGGCAGTCCTCCTTGATCATGTAAATTTTTTCTGTCAGAATCTGCGGCAGATGGCATACGGTGGGGCTTTGAGAAAAGGAAAACTTCAATAACCTTTGATGCAGTCTGTCTCTTTTGTGCTTTCCAGCATTTTGGGAAAAGCAAACGTATACTCCCTTTCCCTCGCTGTAGGCAGATAAAGCTCGTCCTATTTTGACTGCAGTGCCCGGACACCACTGGCCGGAAGCCCAAGGAGACAGGAAGCACTTTTGTGGCATCAAATATTAATGGCGTTATAGAGCGTATTGATTATATAATTACTTTTTCCACCATCTGAGAGCCGACTGAAATGCATTCCCTGAATAATTGAAAATGTATCCATGAGCGGTTTTTCATCTCAGTGGTTGGTGAATGTATTGCGCTGCAGATTTTATCAGGAGCAATCCGTGTGTGTTTTCATGTGATAAACGCAAGGCCCAGCGAGGATGTGAAGAAAGATTAAACTCGGAGTGTGTCTTGATTTTGTGCGTCACCTGTTTTTGTTTGGACCGAATGGTTGAGCACTGAACACTTTGTGCTTCGAAAGCGAGATGCAGACTTAAACACACACTGAAGCTTCGTTTTGCCGACACTTTGCTCCCCTCGCACCACCTTGGATGTTGAAACTGAAACTCATGTACATCTGCTTGCTGCTTCTTACATTTTATTCACCACATACTGTATCTATACATGCTATCAAAACACTGCTCCGTCTGCTTGCTGCGGTACGCCATCACTTTACCAAATGGGTGCAAAATGACTTGTTGTTTCGCTTCTGCCTAACCTTTTTTTTCTTTTTCAGGGTAGCTTTTCAGCTTTAACCTTAATGAACGGGACAAATATTTCTAATAAGCAAACTATTCTTGGATTGTTTCTTTGTTATAACAACACTTCTTGGCAACAAATCTGATCCCAGGCACCTGACTGGCAGCACCTGTCAGTAGCAACAACAAAACAAGCTGTTTAAAGAGGATTTGGCAAATTTTTCATGTGCACAACCCACATACTCAGCTCTACTGCTCATCCCACAAATGCATGTTCCTTACAAATGTGGCACCATTTAAAAAGGGAAATTAACAGGCTTTCCAATGGTATAAGATTTATTGCCATGAAGCATTGTTAAAACAAAGAAATAATCTACCAAACACAAATTTCTTTACATTTTTGTGCACTACTTTATTTTTTACCCTTTGTTATTTTCAGAAAAACGGTCATCTATAGTGTCCTATTGTTTGATTAGTACAGACATTTTAGTCCCATGAGGATGTAACTATCCCTATTTTTCCTGTACACTTGCTTGCTTTTCTGACAAAATCCTTAAAATCTTATAAAAGTTTGAACAAATTATAACTTTGGTAGCCCATTTGTCCCAATCAGATTTCAGTTTTTATCCAACGAATATTTCAAAGTAAACCTTTCACCGTCACCACCCTAAAACCAAAAACAGATTTTTTTTTCCCCCAGATGATCATCCCAAATATTTATTTTTTATCTAAAATTGTCAGCAAAGAGATGTCTCGTCTTTTTTACTGCCTTGACCTCGCTACACCCCCACCCCTCATCACCTTTCTTCCCCTCAAACTGACAGTTCGCTCTCATTTAGACCTCCATTATTCATTCCTGTTTTAGTTTACAAGACACATTGACAACAGAACATGTATAGACTGTCTCTTCTCTCCCACCTCTGCCTCACCTTTCCTTTGAACAACTGGAAGTGTCTTTCCCATTTTTCAACCCTTCGTTCTTTTTTTTTTATTATTATTATTCCCCTCGACTGATCCCTTGGTCCCACTCCTCATCTCTCTGAAGGACTAAATAAAGGCAGAGGTCACGTCTCCTTTTCTTCCTCCCCTCCTGCTAAATTGGCTGTTGTAGCATCCATAGATAGCTGGAAGGCATTTAAAGGCCCCCTGCTCTGTAGAGTCAGAGAACAGACTTCCTGCTCATTTGTGGCATTTCTGCCTTTTTAACCAGACGCTTGTTTACCCTCAGAGAGTGAGAGGGAAACCCTCATTATACGTAAGCCTTGCCAAGGTCAGTGCAGTCACCAAACCAATATGCCAGCTTCAACATACATGCAGTTTTTAATGCTTTCAACAAAGGAGGCACTTGAAAACAGATGAGTAGTTGATCTATTTATATTCCTAATGGTTACTTCCACTTATATCTAGGAAAGATTGTATTTTTCAGTAAGAAAGCATTGATTTTAACCATAAAATAAATCAAAGTTGCTGATTTTGTTTCGGTTTTATCGGTGGTGGCTGTAAAGCAGGGATGTCCAAAGTGTGGCCCGGTGGCCATTTGTGGCCCCTGAACTGATTTTGTGTGGCCCCTAACTTTAGTTCAAGAATTATACAAATTTGTTTACAAATCCCCCCGGCACAGGTGTTCGATGTAGATGGAGACGTTCTATTTATTATTAGGGCAAATTTATCACAAAGTAAAATCTTACAATAAAAATATTGGCAACGATTACTTGTCTTTAAATAACCAGACTCGTGGCTTTTTCCACATCTATCTGGTGACTTCTACTCAAAAGATGATTTTGCTGCACTTCAATCTGCTTTAAATTATTTATTAAATTCATCTGAACACAGAAAGCATTTTCAATGAAAGAGTGATCAAAATCCTGATTTTATTGACCAGAATAGACTAAATTGGGTTATTTTTTTCCCCAATTGAAACCTAGAAAATTGCTAAATTTCTTTCAATTGGGGAAACCTGCAAAACACTTTTAAAGTTCTGGATCCAGATTAATTTATGCATCCATTTCCAGCAATAAATCTGACTACTTTATTTGTTTAATTAAAGTAATCAATGCTTAGTTTATTGTTGAGCAGGTAAAGGAAAAATATTTTTGGCCCTTAAGTCCTTCTGACTTTATTATTTTTGGCCCATGTGACAAATGTTTGGACACCCCTGCTGTAAAGGTATACCTTGTGCTTTTTTTGTTTGTTTGTTTTATTGAGCTACCATATTCCCAACACCCCCTCAACCTCCACCCCTCCTCTCCTCAAACCCCATCATAACCCTAACCTTACAAAGTGAGTGTATGATGTTGACGGCGGGCTGTGCATCCCTCCCTCCCTGTGCTCCGCTCCGTAGGGGTCGACAGAGACACAGTGGCGTCAGGCAGAGCTCCCACAGCTCCAGGGCTGGGCAGAGAAGGGATTGCTGACACAGCCAAAGATGGTAAGGAGACAACTGCTGCCAAATGGATGTCCCAGCCATTTTACACACCCATGAAGTGATGTGATCTGATATTGTACTGTTTTACACGAACGCGCTCTGGTTGGTGATGCTGCTGACTGAGACAAGGAGGAACTGGAGCAGAGACTGATGGACGGGGCTTCGGACAGGGGGCAGCAGGCAGGACAGGGGTGGTTGCGAGGCTGCAAGACGACGTGCAGACATGAGAGAAATGCTGTGTTCATGTCTGTGAATGTTTGAGGTAGTCGGCAGAAAGCGTGGCACAAATTTAGTACTGTTTTTTATACCTAAGTTAGACATAAAGCGACTGTTATAAATTTCTAGAAACCATCTCTAAAGACTCAAGTTGCTGGTTACCTTTTTGCTTTTTATCGCTCTTTATCTTCAGCATTAGCTCTCAATGGGCCTCATGCAAGAACCGTTCGTACGCACAAATTTGTTCTTAAGTTGTGCGTACGAGTGATTTAGGAGAACTTGTGGCATTCACTATTTTTTTCCTATTCTAAGATTTTCTTCAGATACGAACAAATTTCCCGAGTGGTCCAGACCTGTCGTATATTTTACGAGCAGTCAGTCTGCTGTTATCCAGATGGATTTTCTTCACTAATAACTTTGCATTTTGTTATTTAGAAAATATTTTGAGTTGAAAATAAATCACACGCCATAATTATTTTTGACAATATGTTATTCTGTTTGAATTGAAATTATAATTTTAAATGTAACTAACGACATAAATTGGTTAGATTAAATTAAATTGGCTATTAATGCTGTTGTATAACACTACAATATTAATATGAAGATCTCAAACTAAAAACCAACTTAAATTATGCATGAATTGAAGTTTGAAGACATTTTAAAATGCTTCTGACACTTGCAACTACCAGGAGAGGGGGGGGGGCTGGCTGGGGTGTTGGTGGTGGTGGGGTGTGTAGTGGTGCGCGACTGCTGTTCTTCTGAATAAATGAAAACTATGTAACACAGTTGTTTACACTAAATAAAATGTAAGAATTAAATATTTGACCAAAGAAAAACCAGAGCAGGACTAGAGAGAGATGAATATGATTTAGGTTTTTATTTCTGGGTCTGTTTACGACCCACAGGAGACATTAACAGCAGTCATTCCATTCTTTGGCTTTAAAGCAGCTCCTTTTATTCCACAGCTGAAGCTGCTTAAAAGGACAGATTTTCTTTTCTCAATCTCGGAGAGCAGGACTTGAATCTCCGAACTCGTAAAGTTCTTCTTTTTACTTTTCGCTGTCATTTTCATGAATGGACACTTCCTGATATCTGAGGCAGGAAGCATAGCCTTATATGGTGCTTTTGGGGTGGTATTTAAGCCAAACTCCTCACCTCGTGCACAAGCAGCTGGATACGAACAGGTGGAATTCACCATGTTTACACAGCTCATTTACACCCTTTCCTGTAGATAGAAGAGTTTGTTGAATCTGATGTGGCATGTTCGTACGAACCCTTTGTATGAACAAAAGTAAGAGAAATTTAGGATAGGAATACAAACATGTTCTTGCATGAGGCTCAATGTCCCTAAGTCTTTTCTAGCAGCATTCTTCAGATAGAACAAACTTTAAGCAATGGCAGTTTTTCAGATGAATTTCATTCTTTTAAAGATGCCAGGTTTCATAAAGGCTGAGTTCAGATTCAGGAGCTGCATCCTTCGAAGGCCGATTACATCACAGCGATGCGCCAAAAGCTCTCCATTTTTGAAGGCTCCTCCAGTTGTAACCTGCAAATGTGTTCTCCTATTCCCCTGTTTTAAGGGACGGGTCCGGTGGATCCTTCTCAACTGAGAAGGGCCGATCTGGAGATTTTTTTTAATTCACTGGTGGACAAAGCAAGAGAAAGGAGTAAAGTTTTAAATGAAAATCTGGTGGTACAAAAATTGAAAGTCTAAGTTGTGTTGTCAAGCTTTCAACATGTTTTTTAATAATAATCTGGTCAAAAATCATGGTAAACAAGCCCCTATAACAGGTCCCTAGTTCTTCAAGTATTGTCTGACCAATGCTAATGTTGTTAATTCATAATTTTAATATATTAATAGTTTGCCAATTTCGATTTCTTTTCGATCGTCATTGCTTCTGTTTTCACCGCCACGGTTGCTAGGCGACAGGACCGGGGTAAGGGCAGGAATAAAGCTGAAGCCTAGACCGTCAAAATTCACACCCGCTTTCTTTCAGTCTTCATGGTCGACAAAGGACCCGGCCCACGTAGACTGGGTAGGGCTGGGTCCTTCAAAGGACGCAACCCCTGAATTTGGACATGGCCAAGGTCCCTCAAAACATTTGATTTTTCGGCGTAAGCTGCAAGAAATCTTCTATTTGGGTTCCAAGTTTTCAACAACTGTATAGTTTCCCCTGAGAGTCGTGTGCTGGCCTGTCCCGTACACAAGTTGAATTCTAACTCTTGAGTCTAAGTGCCAATGAGAGCTGTGTGTTGTGCTCAGTCAGCAGGATGAGCAGTGAATTGTGTCCTCCAGCACCAAGCTGCTCAGTGGGAGAGCGGGGACAGCCAGAGTGTTCGCAACCAACATGAAGATCACTGAGCAGCACGAATGCTGGTGGGCAGCGATGAGGAGGGGAATAGAAATGGCTACTGAAACTCGGCAGGTTCCTGTTAATTAGAGGCAACCATTTTAGTGAGGAAAAAAAAAAAGAAAGTCCTCAGAATGCGTCCTGTGGAGTTGAAAGTCTCTCTGACAGAATGGAGCCCAGCAGGGAATGTAAACAGATTTAATAAGGCCCTCTCCAATCAACTCTGTTATGGCTGCAGTAGATGCTATTCTCTCCGCCCTCTTCGTTCTTCCCCTCGTCTTTCTCAGTCTGTCTCAGTATCTCTGTTGTGGTGGAGTGGTGAGTGAGCAGAGAAAGATCCTGTCAAAAGAACAATTTGCATGCAGCTCTCATCTTGAGAGCTTTTAGACATCTTCCCTGTCTGTTTGTTTTCTGCTGTGGGCTTGAGCCATTGTTCTTTTCTGTGTGTGTGTGTGTGTGTGTGTGTGTGTGTGTGTGTGTGTGTGTGTGTGTGTGTGTGTGTGTGTGTGTGTGTGTGTGTGTGTGTGTGTGTGTGTGTGTTTCAGCTCGCTGCAGATGTGTGAATGCATAGAAATGTTGGCTTGCATGTGTGAGTTCGAACGAAAAGGTGGAAGCAGATACGACGTTGATGCTTTTTGTTCCTTTTCATAGAGGAAGAGGAGTGAACCCTTCAAAATCAGGAAAAAGATGGAGCTTTTACTCCAGATATTCAAACTTGAAAAATTGCAAAAAAAAGGGAAAAAAGTATGTTAACAGAGAAAGAGGTAGTCACAGTGTGACATTAATTTAACAAAGCTAAACCTATTAAAACATGTATTTCTTCACTAGCTTCTTTATTACAAATAAATAAAAGAAAATTTTAAACTAATCTAATAGGGACATTTCATGCAAAAACCGCATTTTTTGGGTTACATTTCTACACTGCTGCAGAGACGTAAACCCCTCTAACAAAGTAGAATTAACTGCTCTGGAAGCTGGAGTAGGGCGGGGTGTGAAGCACCTTATTAGCATTTAAAGAAACAGCCTCAAAACAAGCTGATCTGAGACACACTTCAGAAAAGGGGTGAAAGAGGGGCTTGTGGAGTTACAATAAGGAGGTTTTTTGACCAAAGCATTGCAGTTCAACTTTATATAGAGCCCAGTTGGATGATTTAATTGTGAAAACGAAGGATTTAAAAGCAGGACATGTCTCCTTTAACATGTTGTATTGCCAAGTTAGGCAGCAAATTCATCTTTAAATCTATTTTGAATGGGTTTTTACAAATGATAGTATTCTAACCAACAATGCTTCATGCAGATCCTAGATGCACAGATAAAAGTGAGGCGATTAAAGCCAAAAACACACACATCGTGTCTAATTTAGTTTTGAGAACTATTTCTGGACTAAGATTATAAAATCCTGCTTTGAGTTGTATATTTAGAACACTGGGCCTCGTCTTTTGATAACCCAGAAATAGAGAGAAGCAGGACTTGTCATTCCTCCTTTGCTGAAACCAGTTGTGCTTCCAAGTGCATCCTCTCTGCTCGCACTTAAGAACAGATAAAAATAGACTGAGAGCTGAATCGTTGAACACGGGGAGAAAAGTGAGATCCCAGAGATAAATTACACATTTAATTTAATCAGAGTAAAGAATGTTTGTGTCCTAATTTCGGGTGTTTGTTGTTAGGTCAGTGAAGTGTTTTCTGCCTCAATATCACAAACTCATCGTATAGATGTGGTTTCTGTTAAGCTCTGTGTAGAATCACTGCACTTTATTACCCAGGTGTTGGGTAAAAACAGTGTTATAAGCAAACCCAACACCCATTCACACCACAAGTAGTTCACTTAATTAGATTAATGCTTACAATGATCCCAATAGCCTCATGATATGTTATAGAATACCGATGACTCAGAATAAACATTTGCCTGAAATAAATAACGGTGCTCTGCGTGAGAAGCAAAGTGCAGCCAGCCTCCTGCGACTCTTCCTTCCAGGTTTTCTCACACGTGCACAAAGCTCGGTTACTCTTTGATCCCGAGGTGCACTGTGAGGGAGGCCACCTATGGAAACACAAATTTCCCTCTGTCACAGCAGCAGCAGCAGCAACAACCAACAACCTGCCAGCTGAAGGGGCTGCCCCCGTTGCTGTTCCTCTCTCACGTTAACTCCGTGGCTTTTCAGTCAGCCGTTTTGCTGAAAGCTGAGAGGCATTTCCATCGTCATGAATATTTAGCTGTTTGTCCTCTTTGTGTCTGTTGTACTTGTAAATGATGTCAGATGTATTGTGTGTGTGTGTGTTGTGTTAGCTTGCTTACCGTATTAGTCTGTGAAAGCATTGATGCGTCATATAAACTTTGGGAGTTTGTTTTTCTAGTCAGTTTAATATATTTGATATTTCATGTAAAATTAATCATTAAAAATTGTGACCTTTTCTACATTAGGCCAAAATAGATTGTTTTTAAATTGTGGCCTTTTGAAAACTATTTTTTACTAAAGCAGTTGTCCTAATGTAATGATGAACAGAGAAAAATGGCAAACTGAAACAAGAGTTTCAGAGAGTTTGTCGACATTCTATACCAGGTATAGTCAATCCTGGTCCTTGAGGTCCGCAGCCCTGCATGTTTTACTTTTTTCCCTTCTCTAACACACCTGATTCAGTCAGTGAATTACCTCTTCCAAGTTCTGCAGAAACCTGATAATCATTTATTCATTTAAATCAGGTGTGTTGAAGCAGAGAAACAAGTCAAACATGCAGGGCTGCAGCCCTG